TTCTCTTTAGAAATCATCAGGTTGATTATTAGGACAATTACTCCGCTGACGGTTTGTTACTGGATAAGCCCAGTGGAGCTCCTATTCTCGAATGCCATAGCGAATGCTCATGCTCAATGTTAGAAACTCCTTGTAGAAATCGAGTAGTGCAACTTGGTGTGAAAGTAGCAATGAAGGTTTGTACATGAAAATTCGGCAAAATTTTGATATTTTTTCCTCATTAAGGTTTATGCATGCGCTGATGGTAAAGGTTTTGGAGTGCGAGCAGCTGAAGAGATTCGACCGCACACGTTTATTTGTGAGTACGCTGGCGAAGTTTTGGATAAGGAAGAAGTCGAGAAGCGAGCTGTTTCGAAACATGACCATAATTATACAATGACAGTACGAGAACATGGAGAGAGTAAGAAATTTTTTCATTACGTTCTTTTTCATTATACTATATTTTTTCTTTAAATTCGTTTTTGCATCTTATTATCTTATCTCTTCGAGTCTGACACTCTCGTTGAGTTTTGGGTTTCGCACAACCCATGCGGATCGGTGCATCCTATGATCTTCGATTTTTGGGCATATTGAAGCTTAGTTTACCGTTCTTAAGGTGGTGTTACAACTACTTTTATCGATCCGCGACATCGCGGCAACTTAGGGCGGTTTATCAACCATGGGTGTGATCCGAATCTGTCTATAGTGATCATACGGATAGGTTATACAGTACCTCATGTTGCACTGTTCTCAAATAAGTAAGTCTACTCACTCACATTCCAGTTTCATTCTTTTGTCGTTGTCCAAGTCATTGTTGTCCTTTTTAGGACAATACATATAGGGGAAGAATTGTGTTATGATTATGGTGCTTCAGCGCTAAATGATGGCAAAGGAAAGAAATGCCTTTGTGGATCTGCCATATGTAGAGGATATTTGCCAATGTCTGCTACGGCTTCAGAATAGTCACGTATACTTGATTACTGTTTCACGTTCGAGTTTTCAATCAATAAACCTTTTTTTGGCATTTATAGTTGTGCATAATATATGCGAACAATTGTCGATAACTATTTGAGGTTTCCAGTTGCATCGAAACATTAATTGTATGTTCAGTCGTGGTACTAAAGAATTTGTGAACATATTTGCTTGCAGAAATATGGGGAGACATAAACGAATACCAACAAAAAATCGCAAAAAGCTCAAGTCAGTTGATCCATTTAACAAGAATGCACCTGCACTGCGTGCTGCGGCTTTGAGGTGAGTCATATGAATTTTACAGGAGCTGACCTCAAATAAAATATGTTAAACATTTCTAATGACTTGCGGGGTCATAATTAGCCAGCCTGTTCAGTTTTATTAGGTTGCTTGAGGCCAGTTTTTATTCCGGAAGGTAAAGGGGTCTGTGTAACGCGCACTCGTGAAACTGACATCACATTCAAAAGAGATGGATATTTTTATTTGTTACGATGGAGTGATTCCCATAGCATAGGTTCTGTATCCGTGAACATGTTTTGCGATTTTAGTAAAGTGAACTTTGAACCAAAAGATGACGAACAGCCTATGCCAAGATCGCTGAAAGAACTTCAGGTAAGTACAGTATCTTCACTTGTGTATGCTTTACTTGTACGCTATCTCGGAGAACATCACAAGATATTTAGGAAAGCAAAGCTGAAGCAGCCGTTGACAGAAAGGAAGTAAAAAAGCGGAGGCAACATAAAAACAAGGTGCTAGGTAAGTGAAATAGATCACTTGGAGTCATCCAGCATCTATATTAATACGTAAAAGAGCAGCTTCTTTGGCACTTACTAGCACCAATCACTTTTTGTTCTAGCTGCTGCTGAGAATGCGGGTATCAAGAAGGGTCGGTTTGAGACGGTCGAGCACTTTGTAAGACGTGTAGAACGCATGACTTATGCGGCAGTGAAAGAACACGAAATGCTGGTCCGTTATATCCTGCTATTTGAATTTTCTAAGAACGGTGCTTTTTGGGACTGCATTCGCTTTCTTTCCTTGCAATTGCAGCGCCTATATCTTTAGGTTAAACAAGGTTTGGTAGGACGAGCAGAGTCGGAAATTCAAGCCGACTTCAAATTGCTGGAAGAAAAAGAAAAACGCCAGAAAGAGCAGAAGAAGAATGAAATTCAGAACAAAATTAAAGCTGCAAGGCAACTGAAGGAAAAAGCAGCGAAGATCAAGGAGGTAAAAAGCATTTATTCTGCATTTGTGATATAGAAACACAGAATAATCTTGAGGAGAAATTGAAAGCCAAAGAGGAAAAGAAACTCAAGCGAAAAGCGGAAATCGAGCCAGAGGATGGGGAAGAGGAAGAAATAAAGGACGAAATCGCAGAGGTAGCATTACTTTTTCTTTACAATATATGTGGTTTGAGACGCTTGAGGATTTAGGCTAGCGGCGACAATACCCAGAAGCCCAGCAGTAATGAGGATGTAAGTGACGAAAAAGTGAAGAAGAAGAGGAAAATATTTCATTC